GCAGACCCATCAAGAACTCAAGGATGAGTTTGTGATGAAGAGCCCGAGCCTTGGTGTCAAGCCTCAAGTGATTTCGAAGCTCGCCAAAAGGGTACACCTCAAGATATTGAAGATAGTTACATTACTTTGTGTAGAGTAACATTTCACTTGGTGTAGGCCCTAGTGAAGGGTAGTTTCGAGACCCTTCGTGGTTGGGGACAGTGTGGCACTGTTCCACATCACTGTGCCTCGGCTCTTGGGGTTTGTAGGAGCTGGGAGTCATTCCCAACTCGTAACTCATCATATCTCTTCCTATTTTGTGTTCTAAGACTATAGTGGCTGCCATAGTGCTGTTCGTTCAAACCGACACTGTGTCGTCAATACTTGGTGAAATTGTGCGATCTAAATTGCCTATTGTAGGCGACGTTCAGACGCTCCAGATCCAAGTTGAATCAGGTCATTTGAAGTTGTGACCAGAACGCTATGAACGTTTGAAGCCGCTGTGCAGAAATCCGGCTGTGTACTCTATCTTTCGTTTTAGGCACATTGGAGCCTATTGTGACTATAACAGAAGCAGGCAGTAACAACCACGCAGTCGGACTAGTATTGATGCAGGATCACCGACGCGGTTTGCAGCCCATCGCCTACCTTGTTGTGTGATGCAATCATATGCATTCACGTCTGTCTGCCTCCCATCATATGTTCGTGCGTTGCATGCGTAGTGTGAGTGTGTGCAAGAATTTGTGTTTTCTGTGGTTTGGACTTTCTGAGTGTGTGTGAATGTTATTTGGCTTGAGCAGATATCTGAAGTGACTCCTCTGCTCAAGAGCTTTCCGTCGAGCCAAGTATCGCTTCAATCGGAGCACGAACAAGAAAGTTACGAACATTTGAAGTTCGTATGCTTTTGATATTTGGTTGTGGTGACTATGGGAAGTTGTGGGGTTGACTCCGTAAAGGGTATAGATTTTCGGGGGTTGAGAAATTCGTCCCCATCACTGTAGATGCTGCCAAGTGGTTGGGAGAAACCAAATTGGGTTGGCAAGTGTGGCCAACTTGGGTGAGGTGGATTGTGGAGGTTGGGAAATGGACAAGAGTCATAGTGGGGTTCCTATATGGAGGGGATTTGATGTGCTTATGGGGTTTCCTTGGTTGGGAACTCCTTAGGGACCTTCCCTCTCATCCTCTTCATCCCTCCCACCTGGTTAATTGCTACTGTAACTTTCTTATGTGAAATTGTGAGACTCTTGTGTTTGAGTTAAGTTTTCAATGGCAGCTTACCCCCTAGTGCGCCGAAATTCATAACTCTAGAAATGCTTCACCTTATTATAAGATTCAAATTGGGAATTGTAGCCACGGACTAGGGCTACATATATGAGTTTGGTGAAGTTTTGACGATGAACTTTTCGTCGAAGGCGTTTCTTGTGAACTCGACATTTCTGTCCAGGATTCTAAGCAAACCATTTTGTGAAATTTAGACACCTAATCTTCATAGACTCTGTCCTTAGTCTCTAACATACCTCAGTACGAAGCTACATTGAGTAGAACCTGAATTACCCAATCCACGACAAGGAAGCCTTGTCAATAATCAAATCCTTCAGGGCATGGAGGTGTTACCTAGAGGGGGCCTGGACTGCAGTTTACACTGACCACTTCAGTCTAAAATACCTTAAGTTGAACCTACGCTCTCACGACAACAGGTGCGGTGGAAGGACTTCCTGAAAACTCACTTCCACAATGACATCGTCTATAAGCAAGGGCTACACAACAAGGCTGACGCACTGAGCCGCCCGGTGTCAGATGTCCACTGGAGATCCCCGGTTGATCCTAGGGAAGGGTTACAGGCACGTTGGCCTAGGGGGTTATGGGCGCACTCACCCGCTACACAAATAAGCCCTTTTATCCCAGTGGTTCTGACACCCAGGGCATGTAGCAGGCATCCAGCTTGACGAAAAGAACCCTCTGCTCAAGGGTCTATTCCAACATGGGTACTCCGTGGACGCGGAGATCGCTACATCACGGAAACAGAAGTTGGTACAATGGGAGAAAGACTTAGCTGTAAGGAAGGATTCATGAAAACGAACTATGCCGAACTAGTACCGAACTATGCCCGTACTCCGACAGATCATACTGGAGGAGTTTCACGATGTAGCATACGCGGAACGTATTGGGAGCAACAAGACGTCAGCGGGAATAGCAAAATATTGCTACTAGCCCTGGATGGCAGCAGACGTGCAGCAGTTTGTCACCTCATGCGACACGTGCCAGCGGATGAAGAGTAGCAAACAGACAAAAGAAAGGATAATTCAACCTCTACCCGTACCAGAAAAGCCATGGCATGTCCTTAGCCTGGACCTCATTACTGGGCTTCCTTCGACCTCACGAGGGCATGACGCTTTGCTCGTGGTGATCGATAAGTTCTCTAAAATGGGGCACTTCATTCCGACCAACGTCCCGGTTATAGCTAAAGCAACTGTTCGCCTCTTCTTCGACTGCATCATCACCATCAACGCCATCCCCACTTCACTCAACTTGAACAAGGACCCAAATCTCAGTAGTAAGTTCTGGAGGGAACTCATAGGTTTGTTTGGGACAAAGCTTGTGATGTCTTCAGTGTGCCACCTTCAGACTGACGGACAGACTGAACGACACAATCAGGTGGTTGAAGAGTAATTGCGTACAGCTTGCAATGACGACATCAGCCACTAGGATCTACAGTTACCAACACTTCAGTTCGCTTACAACAACGCGTCATATGCGGCCACAAGGAAATCTCTTTTCGTTCTGTGCGACGGGAACCACTTACACCACAACAGCCAACCACACCGGCGCACGTCCAAGCCGCACACGACTTTATCACCACCATGCAGTAGCTATGGGAGAAGGCCTAGCGACGTCTCACCACGATGCAGAACTCCCAGAAGCAGTATGCCGATCGACAGCGATGCGATTACTCAGTAGCAGTCGAGGATCAGGTGCTTCTTAACATATGCAACTTGTATTTGCCCCATCTTCCGTCCAAACTCTGGCCTCACTTCTATGGTCCATTCCACGTTGAAGAGAAGGCTACACTGGTAACATTCCGCTTGCGCTTATCTCCACGTAGAAGATTCACAACGCTTTCGATGTAAGCCCTACAAGGACCTCAACCAACAGTTCACGGGACGGAAGCTACCGCCACCACCACCTATTCTCATACAGGATGAACCGGACGAGGTGGAACACATTCTCACTCGTTGACACCAGCAAGACACAACGCTCGAGTTCCTGATACGCTGGAAGGGATACGACCCGTCAAAGGACAGTTGGGTTGCAGAAGCTGATATGGGCAACGCACGCCGTACCCTGAAGGATTATCTTGTCAAGCAGGGTGTATCTCACGCCATCTAACTTTGAGGGGGGGGGGGGGGCTGTGAGAGTACGACGAATTTTCTAGGCATCACTTGCTTGCCTTCACTTTATTATGCCTTGCTTTATTTTATCATGCATGCTTTTGCTTGATTTTCTAGGTTAGGTGCGTTTCTATGCTTTTATTATTGTTATAGCACCGAACTAGGATTGCGTGCACCGAATTCGTGTTTTCCGATTTCCACCGAACGGCTTCTACCGAATTCGGGAAGGCTCTATTCAGGACGCTTCGCGACCCTTGGAACCTATGCGTAAACACCTGGTTACTAGGCCTTGTGTCAAGTCTATATACCGCCTCGTGTTATACCCAGGTGATCAATAAATTCATTATGAACCAATTCCTTGATCCTCATAAAGTCGATGTGCACCACGTTGAGCGGCATCCGATCCTTGGTCGGGGAAGGTGTGTCCACGCCAACTTGCTACCAACGCAAGATGCACACGGCAGGTCGACTGCGGTCGACTTCTCGATGTCTAGACCGACGTCGACCTTATACTTCGCCGAGCTCTTGATTGTGTCGACGCCGAGGTGGCGCAAGCAGAGCGTGCCACATGTCCGGGGTCGAATTCATCGTCGATGCAATCGTCCGCAGAGCCACAACTTCTGTCAAACTCATATGCTATAGTCTGTGTAGGCTGTAGTGGGGTAGATAATATTGGGTACAGCACATTTAGGTTTTCCTACTTGTACCCACCTGCTTGCTAGTTCATTCATTCCTCATTTCTTCACATGGTATAGAGCAAGTTCCCTAGTGGGAACGCTTCTAAGGGCCCACCACTGAAATCGTTTTTTTTTTTCTTCCTGACCGGAGCGCGAGTCGCCCCTGCCCGAGGCGCGCCCCGTGGGCCGCCCTCTCAGTCGTGCCCCCTGCCCTTAGCGGCCTGTCGCGCCCTTCTAGAGGCCCCTCTCACGGCCCCTCGCGCCACCCTTAGCGGCCCCGTCGCCACCCCTAGCGGCCCCGTCGCCGCCCTTCTAGGCCCCTCGCGACCCCTTCGCGGCCCCGCCGCTGCCCCTAGTGGCCCCGTCGCCGCCCCTCGAGGCCCCTCGCGGCCCCTTCGCGGCCCCTTCGTGGCCCCGTCGCAGCCCCTAGCGGCCCCGTCGCCGCCCCTCGAGGCCCCTCGCGGCACCTTTGCGGCCCCGTCGCCGCCCCTAGCGGCTCCGTCGCCGCCCTTTCGAGGCCCCTCGCGGCCCCCTTTGCGGCCCCGTCGCCGCCCCTATCGGCCCCGTCGCCGCCCTTCGCGGCCCCGTCGCCGCCCCTCGCGGCCCCTTTGCGGCCCCGTCGCCGCCCCTAGCGACCCCGTCGCCGCCCTTCGAGGCCCCTCGCGCCCCCTTTGCGGCCCCGTCGCCGCCCCTTGCGGCCCGGTCGCCGCCCCTTCCTGCCCCTTCACCGCCGAGCCACCGAGCCGCCGAGCCGCCGAGCCGCCGAACCGCCGAGCCGCCGAGCCGCCAAGCAGCCGAGCCGCCAAGGCCGCCGTCGAGCCGCCACTACCAAGCCGATGTCGCCGAGCCACTGCCGAGCCGCTTCCACCGCGGTTGCAGCCCTGTTCCTACCAGCGCGCCCCGGCCCTACCCACCCGGACTGGTGAGAGCACTCTCTGCTAGACCACTGCTGTCAATGGCTACCCCCAGTGTCCTTACCTTTGATGCTGAGGGTCGTGCTGTTGACTTAGAGGTCTGGGTCGATGACCTACAGCTCTTCCTACAATGCGATAGGGCAGACGGACTCTCCCTGTTCGATCTCACCTCCGGTGCCTCTCCTGCCCCGCCTGCTGATGCTGACAGCACTGTTCGCTCGCAGTGGGCCACACGCGATGCTGCTGCCCGTCTTGCAATGCGTCGCCACATACCGACCGCTGAGCGTGCGCACCAGTACAAGAGTGCTCAGACCTTGTACGACGCTGTAGTTGCACGCTACTCTTCCCCTGCCATTGCTGCCCTTAGCCGCCTCATGGTGCCGTACCTGTTCCCTGACCTCGCCGCCTTTCCCACAGTCGCTGACCTCATTACGCACCTTCGCACTAGTGACACCCGCTACCGCGTTGCGCTTCCTGCTGAGTTCTGTGCCAAGAACCCCCCCCCCCCATGTATATCACCCTCTACTACATAGTCACCCGGCTCCCTGACTCCCTTCGCTTAGTCAGGGGCCACTTCCTCTCAGTTTGCCCCACCACACTCACTGTTGACCTCCTCGAGTAGCGCCTCTTGGCAGCGGAGAAGAGCATAGTCGCTGTAGGAGCCTCTCGTGGTGACCCTCGTACCCCCGTCTTTGAGGGGTGTTCCCCCTCCCCCCTCTTGCCCTCTGTCGCTTCTGATGCTGCGGCCGACCTCGTCGGTTTCGAGTCGGTCGGAGCTGCATCTGCCCCTAGTGGGAGACGCCGCACCAGAAAGGGCAAGGGGGGCAAGGGCGCTGGAGGGGCTGGCGGGGGTGGTGGAGGTGGCGGTGGAGGCAGTGGAGGGGGTGGGGGTGGTGGTGGGAGTGGTGGCGGGGGTGGAGGTGTCGGTGGCACCTGTGGAGGCGGTGAAGGCGGCGGCGGTGGCGGTGGGAGCGGAGGCGGCAGAGGTGGCGGCGGCGTCGGCGGCAGCGGTGGAGCTGGTCGCGGCTCTGCGCAGAGGAGTGGTTCCGGTGGTGGTCCGCGCCAGCTGCAGCAGCGCAGTCGTGAGACCCCGTCCCCCCAGCAGCTTCGTGAGTGGTACGCTGGGCGTCAGCGAGGTGGGGGTACTAGTCCCTGTACCTACGTCCTGCGTACCGGCGACCGCGCTGGTGAGCAGTTCGGGGGCTCGCACTCCACCCAGCGTTGCTTCGGCCGCCTGACGGACGCTTGGCGTCACCAGTTCCCTGACGCCACTGAGATCCCTCGCTGGGGAGAGCTGTCTAGGGCGGGGGTTGCTATCTTTGATCTTGATTATGATGCTATTCTTGCTGCCATGTATGCTGTGTCTACTAGTGATGAGGGTGACTGTTACCTGTGTGTTCCGCCTGACCCGGGCATTGGGGCTGCTGCTCTAGGTGCTTGTGAGGCTGCTGCTCTAGGTGCTATTGCGTCTGCTGCCCGAGGTGCTGGTGAGTCTGCTCTCTCAGGTACCACGTCGGCTCAGGCCTTCCACACCTTCACCCTTGACTCGGGTGCTTCCCGCTCCTTCTTTCGAGACCGCACCACACTTACGCCGCTTAGTCGGCCGGTTGCGGTCTCCTTGGCGGACACCTCCGGGGGTCCTGTCCTTGCTCGCTTCTCCAATGTCTAACCGTGTCCGGCAGCCCCCTCTGGCACCCTGTCGAGTCTCTACCTCCCCTCGTTCTCTACGAACTTGATGAGTGGTGCTGATAGGGGGGCTGACCAGTTCACTCCTGCGAGTCAGCGGTGACCCACTGTACGTGTGCTCGGATGGGCCGACACTTGGCCAGGTTTACCCGTCGGCCGGGGTCGAGCCTGTACACACTGACTACTGAGTGTCCTCCGATTGCTGAGTCTGGTCAGGTAGCTGCGTCGAGTCAGGTGTTTGCTGCAGCGTCCAGGTCTGGTCCTGAGTCTGCTCCCTGCTCGTGTCGTCTCCTGTCCCACCAGACTCTCCTCTGGCACCTTGCGCAGCAAGAGCGACTTCACTGAGGTGTTGATCGACTGGATCCGCGCGGCTCGTCTCCAGCTCAGAGAGAGTTTCGGCTCGGACTTTCCTGTTCTGCGTCTGCACTCGGACTAAGGCGGAGAGTTTCCCTCTGCCCTTCTGGGAGCCTTCTATAGTGCACAGGGCATCCGCCAGACCTTCACGCTTCCGGCCTCTCCACAGAAAAATGGGATTGCTGAGCGCCACATTGGCATGGTCATGGACGTCGCTCGTACATCCATGATCCATGCGGCTGCTCCCCATTTTCTGTGGCCGTTTGCGGTTCGGTACGCAGCGCATCAGATCAACCTTCAACCCCAGTTCTCCTTGCCAGAGACCTCCCCCACCTTGCGGTGGACGGGGAAGGTTGGCGATGCGTCTGCGTTTCGTGTCTAGGGATCTCGGGCGTTTGTCCGCGACTTGTCTGCGGACAAGCTGTCCCCCCGTGCGGTTCCCTGCGTCTTCCTTGGCTTCCCCCCTGACGCGCCTGGTTGGCAGTTTTACCACCCCATCTCGCGCCGTGTTTTGTCCTCCCAGGACGTCACGTTTGACGAGTCGGTTCCTTACTACCATCTCTTCCCCTACCGCACTACACCCCTCCCCCCGCCGCTGCTCTTCCTTGCGCCAGGTCTCCCCCCCGGTAGACCCCCTCCCCCCTCAGGGTCCTGCCCCGTCAGGTGTGTCCCAGGTAGACGAAGTTGAGCCTGTCGAGGTAGCTGTTGACTCTCGTCTTGCTAGGGGTGCTGAGCCTGGGGGTGCTGAGTCTGGGTGTGCTGAGCCTAGGGGGTGCTGAGTCTGGGGGTGACGGAGCCTGGGGGTACGGAGCCTGGGGGTGCTGGGCCTGGGAGTGCGGAGCCTGGGGGTGCTGGGTCTGCTCGTGTGGCCTCTGGCAGAGCTGGGTTTGGGGCCCCTTTGGGTGCTTCGTCGAGGCAGGGAGCTACCCTCTCCACAGGAGCTGCGCGAGTGGTTTGCCCGGCGCTGGAGCCGTGCTGCTGGAGCTGGAGGTGGTGTGTTACTGCAGACCCTAGGGTCGGCATTGGGGTTACTGGAGCCCCTGGTCCTAGGAGGTGCTCGTACTAGCGGTAGTGGAGCTGCTGGGACTGGGGGTGCTGCTGGGGCTGCTGGAGCTGACGGTCCTACTAAAGTTAGTGTTGCTGGAGCTGCTGGAGTTGGTGCTGCTGGAGCTGTTGGAGCTGGAGCTGCTGGAGCTGGAGCTGCTGATGGTGTTGGCGCTGGAGGTGCTGCTGGCGCTGGTGCTTCTGAGGGTACTGGAGTTGGCGTTGTTGGAGCTGGAGGTGCTACTGGCGCTGGTGCTGCCACTAGGGGTACTGGTGTTGTTTTTGATGGTTTTGAAGGCGCTGCGCAGCCGCGGCCGTACTTCGTTCCGCTCCTTGAGCAGGTTCTTGGTCTCCCGCCCTCTACTGGTTCTGCTCCTCCCTTAGTGTGTCCACAGCCTGTCCTAGTTGCGGTCACAGCTACAGCCCGCCTCCCCCCTACCTGCTCCTTCTCCCTACACTGGTCCTACTTGAGGTCTTGCTGAGCGTCGTGAGCCTGCGTCTCGTCCTGCGTCGCGTGTTTGTGCTGCTCGCACTAGTAGTCGTGCTTCGCGTCCGCGTCCTCCTGCGGTCCCCAGGCACACACCAGATGGCACTGCGTCCTTCCACTGCTCCTCTGCGTGTCCCGTTGCCGTCTCCTCCAGAGTCCTCTCTTCCTGTCCTTGCTGACCTAGAGTCTGACTCTCTACATGCTGCCAGTCCTACTGTCACGCGTCTCCTGGCTACTGTTGTCACTGACCCTTCCTTTGAGTCCACTACTGCGTCTGCCTTAGTTGCTGAGCTTGTCGACTTTGCTGCTCGCTGTCATCTAGACTACGCTGCTAGTCTTGTTGCTGAGTCTCGGTCTGTTTGTCCTCCGTCTGTCGGGGGTGAGTGTGCTCTTAGCACGGACGACACACTGAGGACTACACTTGCGGCTCTTGGGTTTGCTCCTTCTACTGCCGACCCGTCGCTGTTTCTGCGCACCGACACCTCTTTGCTTGCCGTTCTACATCCTCGTGTACGTCGACGACTTGGTCTTTGCCACTGCTGACACTGCTGGACTAGCCCACGTGAAGTCTGAGCTGCAGAAGAGACACACGTGCACAGACCTGGGTGAACTGCGCAGCTACCTTCGCTTGCAGATCACCCGGGACAGAGCACAGCGCACCATTACCCTGACTCAGTCACACATGGTGCAGCAGGTCCTTCAGCGCTTCAACTTCACGTACTCCTCGCCTCAGGCCACTCCTCTGTCTACTCGCCACTCGCTCTCAGCTCTGCCTTCGGATGAGTCCGTAGAGCCGAGTGGCCCGTACCCAGAGCTTGTTGGCTGCCTCATGTACTTGATAACCTGCACACGACCTGACCTTGCATATCCTCTTAGCATCTTGGCACGCTATGTGGCTCCTGGGAGATACCGACCAGAGCACATGGCTGCAGCGAAGAGGGTGTTGCGCTACGTGTGCAGTACGATGGGCATGGGGCTAGTGCTTGGAGGGCGACGTTCAGTGGTCCTCACAGGTCACGCAGACGCTTCTTGGGCTGACGACCAGGCTACGCAGCGGTCGTCACAGGGTTACACCTTCAGCCTTGGTTCCGGCTCTTTTTCGTGGCGGTCTACCCGCTCGTCTTCTGTTCTCGGCTCCAGCTGTGAGGCTGAGATCTACGCGGGGGCCATGGCTGCACAGGAGCTTCGCTGGCTCACCTACCTGCTGACTGACCTAGGAGAGCCGCCTCGTTCTCCTCCAGTTCTGTACGTAGACAACAAGGCCATGCTGGCCTTGTGTTGGGAGCACAGACTGGAGCACAGAACGAAGCACATTGCTCTTCGCTACTTCCTGGCTCGTGAGCTGCAGCAGCGTGGTCAGCTCCGCCTCACCTACGTGGCCTCTGAGGCCAACGCTGCTGATATCTTTACCAAGGCACTTCCGCCCTGTGATCATCAGCGCTTCTGTACGATGCTAGGTCTTGTGCCTACTTGGCCTCATTTGCTCACTTCTTGACCTTGCTTGTACTGTGATCTTACTATACCTTCACTTGCTTCTTTACCTTTATAAACGATCTTGCATGTGAACTGCTTCGCTAACACGGCATCTTCGAGGCGCATCTTTGCGCCACTCTGCTGCACGAACTGCGAGATATGGATTTCAATCAAGAAAAAGGGACGCGCCGATAGCAGATCGCCTTTTACTCCGACCGCGACCAACGAAGGAATCGCGACACATGGCCACGACACTACTACTGCAAGAATTGCAAAGCCTTCAGCCACTCCACCTGAACGATGCCGATCCGAACCATGCCCCAACTCCGCGTCGCGCAACAACTCTCCATATGGCCCTGATCATTCGCGCCAGGCCAATCGACCTGTCTTCGGACCATCGGTCTGTCAGAATGTTATTATGTAGCCTGTTGTGGGGTGCTCTATAGCGGGTACAACCTAGTTAGGGTTTGCTATATGTATCCCAACTGCTGCTAGTGAAACTCCTCCTTTCTTCAATACTGTTTCTGCCTGCTAACTTTGACACGGTCCGCCCCTCGCCAACCAACACAACCAGACTCACAGCGGCCAACACAGAACAACACCGTTCCGCATATCATGAGTAACATGGCAATGTGCGTTCATCGCCGCACTCGGCACACAAATCGGAGACATCTCCGATACATCTCTCCTCCTCCGCCTGGACAAGAAGTTTTTTCAACAACTACAACAACCCATTCACTGAGGACGGAGAATTCATTTTCGGACGAAAACGAGCAAGATTGGAACCTGCCAACGCCGCCGCTAGAATCACCACCCCACGACTAGGATTTTCTCAAATCACCATCAATCACAACCTACTTCTTCGGCCATAACATCGACACTCGCCCTGTGAGGATCTAGGATCGAGCTCAGAAAAGATGATTCAAATTGAATTGAATGATCACCTGGGTACAACACGAGGCTATATATAGGCTCGACACAAGGCCCCGTAACCAGGTGTTACGCGAAGGTTCCGCGGGTCGCGAAGCGTCCCGAACAGATCCTTACTGAATTCGGTAGAAGGCAATTCGGTGGCAACCGAAAAGCCAGAATTCGGTGCACGCAACCTAGCTCGGTGCTATAACTATAATAAAATATAGGAAAGCACCTAGCCTAGGAAATCAAGCAATTCATGCATGCATATAGTTATCCTATGCTAAAAATAGCATGATAAAGTAGAGGAAAGCAAGCATAGCTGGCATAAGCCGTCGTACTCTCACACGTCCCCCCCTCAAAGCTGGGTGGCGTGAGATACACCCTGCTTGACAAGATAGTCCTTGAGAGCACGGCGTGCGTTGCCCATATCAGCTTCTACAACCCAACTGTCCTCAGTGGGGTCGTATCCCTTCCAGCGTATCAGGAACTCGAGGGTCTTGCCACCGCGGCGCCGATGGGTGAGAACGCGCTCGATCTCATACTCGGGTTCATCCTGTATGAGAACAGGTGGTGGTGGCGGTAGTTGCCGTCCCTGGAACTGTTGGTTGGGGTCCTTGTAGGGCTTCAGTAGCTGGACATGGAAAGCATTATGAAGCTTCCATGTATCTGGTAAGCACAAGCGGAATGTAACTGGTGTCACCTGTGCCTCA